GCTTCGCCAGCACCTTCCGCGCGAGCTTCGGCTCGTCCAGGTGGCCGGCGAAGGCCTCGGCGACGCGCGCCGCTAGTAGCCGCAGGGACGCGAGCTTCTCCGCGGCGTCGAACTCCGCCGCGCGGTCCTCGGAGCCCGCGGCGTCGAGAAAGTCCAGGCACCGCTGCAGCAGCCCCGCGCGCGTCTCCGGCGCCACGCGGCCCAGCAGCGTCGCGAGCACGTCCTTGACGCGCGCCGCGCAGGCCGCCGACGCCTCGTTGCCGCAGCGCATGGCGAGCTGGGCGAAGAAGGACGCGCCGTGCTCGTCGACCGTCGCCGGCGGCAGCGCGCGGAGCGCCGCGGCGAGCGCGTCGAGCGCGGCGAGGCGCCCCTCCTCGTAGGCGTAGTCGAGCCCGAGCAGAAGCTGGCCGAGGTGGTGCTTCGCGCGCTTCTTGCCCATGGGGTAGGTCAGCACGAACTTGAGGAGGATCGCCGACGCCCGCTTCCGCTCCGCGCGCTCGAGCGACGTGACCTGGAGCTCCGCGACCTACGAGACGCGTCGGTGACGAGTTTCCTTCGTCGAAATCTCTCGAAACTCGTCGGGACGCCGTCCGCGACGGCGTCCATGACGTCGTAGATCTCCGCGACGACGACGGGCCGCCGCACCATGGCCAGCAGGAGCGCGTAGGTCGCCGCGCGGTTCGACGCGAAGGAGTCGTCGTCCGCGAGCGCGGACTCGGAGAGCGCGGCGCGCACGGACGAGGCGACGGCCTTGAGCTGCGCGTCGGCGAGCGACACCTCGTAGCCGTCGTCGCTCTTGCCGCCGAGGAGCGCCGCGAGCATCTTGAAGGCGCCCTGGGCGCCGTCGCCCACGGGCGCGCCGCCGAAGCGCGAGCACCGCCGCAGCGTCTCGAGCGCGACCTTGGCGAGCCGCGGCGCCCAGCGCGCGGCGCCCTCGAGCTTCCAGCCCAACAGCGCGGACGCGACGGCGACGACGCCGAGCTGGAGCTCCTCGTCGCCCCGGAGGCCCCGGTAGGCCCGCGCGAGCATGCCGAGCAGCGGCGTCGCCGTCGCCTTGACGGCGTCGTCGCAGCTCTGGAGCTTGTGCTTCCGGAGGCCGAAGCGCAGCAGGTGCACGGCGAACCTCGACTTCTCGTCGCGGACCGCGCGGCGGTGCGACGCCCGCTCGAGGACGCCGCCGTGGCGGTCCCGGCCCGTGAGCTTGGGCGCCGACGCGCCGTCGATGACGGCGACGTTCTCCTGCTCGCGCTTGCGCTTCCGCGCGAGCGCCTCGGCCTTGGACGACGACGCGTCGCCCGCCGAGGGCAGCCACGCCGTCGCGGCGCCCGCGTTCGTGCGCACGCGCCTCGGCACCATGTCGGCCTCGTCCATGGCCAGCGGCGCGAGGGACCCGTCGTCGGAGTCGTCGTCGGAGTCGGACTCGTCGACGTCGGGCGCGGCGTCGCGCGTGACGACGCCCGTCCGCGTCAATATGGCCACCGCGTGGTAGACCAACTCCCCTCCACACGACGACGGGTTCGCCGCGAAGCCCGCGGCGACGCGCGCGACGGCGGCGCGGCAGCGGCCCGCCTCCGTCGCGCGCGCGTCGTCCTCCTCGCCCGCGCGCTGCGCGAGCGCGTCGAAGAGCGGGCGGACCAGCGCGTGCGCCGCGCTCCGCGCGACCGGCGCGTCGTCCGGTGCGCCGGCGTCGCGCGTCGCGTAGCTCGGCCGGTAGAGCACGGATTTCGCGAGCAACTCGAGCGACTCGTAGGTCCGCGAGACGACCTTGGCCGCCTCGGGCACGCCCGACGCGGACCCGGCCTTGTGGTCGCCGGCCGCGCGGCCGTCGAAGGTCTTCGCCGCGGAGCCCAACAAGTCGTCGACGAGGAGCTCGACGAGCGGGGCCACGCCCGCGTCTAACGAGTGCGCGCAGGCCGCCGCGGCCGCGTCCGCGACGGCCGGGTCGTCGACCGTCGCCGGCGCGGCCGCCGCCTCGTTCCCGATTGCGCCGAGCGCGTCCGCGCCGGCGCTCTGGAGCGCCGCGACGATGGAGTGCACGGCGGCGGACCGCACGGCGAGCATGTAGCCGCTGTGGAGCGCCGCCTTGAGCTCCCGCAACACCAAGGGCAGGCACGTCGGCGACAGGAAGACGACCATTTTCGCGAGCGTCGCCCGCCCGACGTCGCGCTGCGTCGCGTCGCGGTGTCGGAGCCCGCCGCAGACCGACACCACCAAACCCCGCGTCTCCGAGTCGCGCGCCGCCGCGGGCAGCTTCGCGGCGAGGCGCAGGATCGCGAGGGCCACGGGCGCGCGGAGCACCTCGTCGCGCGCGCCCGTCTTTTTGGCGCGCACGGGCTTCTTCAGCAGCCGCCGCGCCGTCGGCAGGAGCCAGCCGTGGAGGCCCGCGGACACCTTGTCCGCCTTCGGGGGTTGGGCGGGCGCGTCGGCCTCCTCCTCCTCCTCCTCGGCGTCTTCCTCCTCCTCTTCCTCGTCCTCCTCCTCCTCTTCGACGTCCATGGCGTCGTCCGCGCCGTCGAGGAAATGGAAGTTGTCGAGGACGTGGCAGAACGCCGCGACGAAGGTCGCCTCGAGGGCCTTGCTGCTCTGGAGCTGCATGTCGCGGAACTTGGGCCTCTCCTTGCGGCTCGCGGCGCCCGACGGCGCCTGCTGGCTGTTCGCCTTGGGGCGGCTCAACCGCTCGTGGAGCCGCGCCTGGTTCTCGACGACCGTGGCGAGACGCTTCGCCAGTTGGCCGTAGCGGCTCCAGGGCAGCGCCGACGCCACGACGCCGACGCAGGCCGCCGCCTCCTTGACGAGCGCGTCCTGGGCCCGCGCGTCGTAGAGGGGCTGGAGCGCCAGGGGCAGCAGGAACCGCGCGGCGTCGCCGCGGGCGGCGTCGTCGAGGTCAACCGACGCGAAGACGGCCGCCGCGCGCTTCAACGCGCGGGCCCGCCGGTGGGCCTGGAGGTGCGCGACGTTCTCGAAGAGGTCCAGGTCCGCGTTGTCGTTGGCGAAGCGCTTGAGCGCCACCGCGGGCGCGAGGAACGTCGCCGACGACTTCGCGGCGGCGGCGCCGAGCGCCGACACGGCCGCGCGCCGCGGGCCGTCGTCGCCGAGCTCCAGCGCCCCCATGACGTGGGGTAGTAAGCAGGTCGTCGCGACCCACTCCGCCGTCCAGGTCTTGCCGTGGGACGCCGCCGCCGCCGCCGCCGCGAGGAACGCGCGCGACGCGCGCGCCGCGCCGTCGCGGAGCGCGGCGTCCGAGTCGCGCGCGAGCGTCTGGAGCAGCGCCACGACCGGCGCGGCGCCGAGCGCCCCGACGTCGGCGTCGGCGAGGAGCGGCGCCCAGGCGCCCGCGTCCGCCAAATCCTGGAGCGCCGCGCCCGCTTTTTCGAAATCCGGCGCGCCGTCGAGCGACGACTCGTCGACGGCGACGAGCGCCTCCACGAGATCCGCGCCCGCTTTCAGGCTCGGCGCCCGCAGGTCCTCGTGGCCCCGCGCGAGGTCGACAAACGTCAGCGCCACGGCGCGCACGGCGTCGCCGCGGTCCGACGCGGCGAAGAGCTCCGTCGACCGCCGCTTCCGCCGCGGCGGCCCGAGGAGCGCGACGAGCGACTGCGCGTGCGAGAAGGGCCGCGCGACGCGCGGGAAGAGCGCGCCGAGGCACGTGCGGATCGTGTCGCGCGTCGTCGCGATGGACGTGTCGTGCGCCGCGCCGACGATCTTCAGCCGGGGCACGAGCGTCGCGGCCAGGCGGCTCGCGTCGCCGTCGCCGAGCGGCCAAAAGTTCGCGTCGGCCGCGGGCAGCGTCGCCAGCTCCGCGACGCGCCGCAGGGCGTTGAGCGCGCGGAGCTGGGTCTTGTTGAGCCGCCGCGCCGCGGACCCGTCGAGCGCCCTGCCGAGCGCCGCGACGACCGCCGCGGCCTCGGGCCGCAACAGCGCCGCGCCCGAGGAGTCGTCCTCCGCGAGGAGGCCGCAGACGCCGTCGAGCGCGAGTTTCGCGTCGGCGGCGCAGGCCGCGAGGGCCGCGACGGCCCCCGGCGCGACGGCGGCCCGGAGGCTCGGGTACGCGCATGCCGCGGCGACGACCTCGAGGAGCGCGGGGCTCCGCGCCTGCCCGCCGGAGCTGCCCGCGAGCGACGCGAGGTGCGACCCGAGGGGCGCCCAGAGCCGCTCCTTCAGGCCGCCGTCGACGGCCCAGAGGACGTCGGACTCCGCGAACTGGTCCAGGAGCTCCTTGCAGCACTTTAAGGCCAAGTGCCGCTCGCGCTTCCGCCGCGACTTCGACCCGTCGACGACTTCTTCTTCGTCGTCGTCCTCCTCCTCGTCCTCGACGGCCTCCTCCTCGGCCTCGCCCCGCGCGGCGAGCACGGCGAGCACGACGCCCAGGAACGTGCCCGCGTGGGCCTCGACGCGGTAGCCGAGCTTGGCGACGACGGCCCGGAGCAGCTGGAGCAGCCCGGACACGCGCGACTCGGAACACGCCGCCACGGCCCGCTCCGCGTCCTCGCGGCCCCGGAGCGGCGCCAGAGAGTCGAGCCCGCCCGACGGCAGCAACGGCCGGAACATGAGCACCAGGAACGCGTCGAGCTCCGACGGGTCCAGCGCCGCGAGAAAACTCAGGATCGTCGCGCGCCGCGCGGCCGGCGACGCCTTGCGCCGGCCGCCGACGGCCGCCGACTTGGCGCGGAAGCGGCCGAAGAGCACGCGGCAGAGCACGGGGATGAGCCCCGCGCGGTGCGTGTCGTCGATCTGCCAGCCGCCGGCGCCGGCCTCGACGGCGCCGACGCCGCGGGCCTCGCGCGACGCGCCGAGCTTGACGAGCGTGTCGCGCAGCGTCGCGTCGTCCAACAGCGCGGCGACGCGCGCCGCGTAGGGCGCGAGGTGGGGCACCTTGTAGGGCGCGAGGCACTTGAGCGCCAGCGACGCGACGTCGCCGCGCGGCTTGCCCAGGAGGCGCTCGTAGACGGCCCGGAGCGCGTCGCCGTGGGGCAGCGACTTCGGCGCGGCCGCGCCGGCGAAGACCCTGAGCAGCGTCTCGAGGCGCCGGTGGCGCGCCGCGCCGGGCAGGGGCGCCGCGCGGCCGTAGCGGTCGCCGCAGGCCCGCGGCAGCAGCGGCAGGATCTCCTTCGCGTCGGGATCGCCGCCGTCGTCGAAGAGGTCGACGCGGAGGAACGTGACGAAGAGCTCGACGGCGGCGCGCGCGCCGTCCGCGGACGCGCCGCCGACGGCGCCGCAGGCCGCGGCCGCGTCCCAGGCCACGGCGTGCGACCGGTCCGCGTCCAAAGCGCCGTCGTCGTCCGCTTCCCAAACGCCGCTCGCGCGGCCGCCGCCCGTGGCCGCGTCGTCGTCGCGCGCGGCCCGCGCGAGCGCACCGGCGAGGTCCGCGGCGTCGGGCTCGCCGCCGCGGCGCTTCTTCGACGGCGCCGCGGCGGCCGCGGACGACGCGCGCTGCAGCAGCGCCAGGAGCGGCGGCCATTTCGCGCCCGGGTCCAGGGCCGCGAGGACTTTGGTGGCGTGGGCCCAGAGCGGCTCGAAGCGGACGGTCAGCAGGCCGCAGCAGTGGCACGCGAAAGACCGCGCCGCCGCCGCGCCGAGCGCGCCGTCGCCCCGGCGCCGCGCGAGGGCCTCGGCGACGCCCAGGAGCCGCGCCATGGGCCGCTCCGACGCGAGCGCGACGGGCAACGCCTCGACGGCCCCGCAGAGCCGCAGCGCAAAGGCCGCGCCGCCGTCGGAAGGTTCCGAAGCGTCGAAGGCCGCGACCGTGAGCTCCGCGTCGCACGGTTCGCCGAGCGCGGCCATGAGCTCGAGGGCCAGGGCGCGCGCGGCGCCGCTCGGCGCCGCGAGGCGCGGCGCGACGGCGTCGGCGAGCGCGCCCGCGGCGCCCGGCGCGTTGAAGGCCGCGGCCGCGCCGTGGCGCCGGATCGTCTCCGCGGCGACCCGCAGCGTCGCGGCGCTGCCGAGCGCCGCGGGCCGCCCCGTGAGCGCCGCGATCAGCGGCGCCGCCGCGCGCGCGGCGACGTGGGGCTGGCCCAAAGCGTCGAGCGCGCGGAGGCCCGCGGCGCGGACGACGCGGAGCTCCGCGGTCTTCTCGGACTCGAAGGCGCGCCGGCTGCAGGCGTCGACGAGCTGCGCGGCGAGGGCGGCCACCCGCGGCCCGGCGGCCGCGCCCGCGAGCGCCGTCGCGACGTCGAGCGCGGGCAGCGCGGCCGCCTGGGCAGCAAAAGGGTGATTCAACGTCGCTTCAACGTGAGTGTTCCGCGCGCGCGCGTTCCGGGAAAAGCATCCACGCTTCGAGGCCGTTCCGAGAGATGATCGCTCGTCCAAGAATTAGCCGAAACGAGTGGAAAACGGCCGAGATCGGAGCCTTTGAAGTTGGGAATTTCGCTCTCTTTTGCTGCCCTGGCGGCCGCGAGCGCCGCGGCGTCGACGGCCCGCGCCGCGGCCTCCAAAGGCGGCGCGACGATCTCCGCGGCGACGCGGTCGAGCAACCGGCCCGAGCCCCGCTTCGCCGCGCGCGCGGCGACGGCGAGGCCCGCGGCGGCGTCGCCCGCGGCCGCGGCCGCGAGCGCGGCCTCGAGCGCCGCGTCCGCCGCGGCGTCGACGCCGGCGCCGGCGTCCTCGAGGTCGTCGAGCGCGTCGAGGACCGCCAGCGCGTCGCGCGCGCCGCCCGCTTGGAGCACGCCGGCGACCCAGGCCTCGCCGCGCGCGGCCGCGACCGCGCGGAGCGCGCCCTGCGGCGCCGCGGCCGCGCCCGCGAGCGCCGCCCGGACGAGGGCCCCCGCGTCGCGCGGCGCGGCGCCCGCGCCGGCGCCGGCGACGAGGCCGTCGAGGAGCGCGGCGAGGCGGTCGCAGCGGTCGCGCGCTAGAGCTCGCGGCAAAGCGCGGTCGACCTTGAGGTCGTCGTCGCGGTTCGTCAGGAGCCGCGCGCGGCGCCAGGACACGACGGTGGCGAGGCGCGCCAGCGCGTCGCCGAGGGCCGCGTCGCCCGCGGACGCGCGGTTCGCCGCGCCGTCGACGACGGCCGCCCACAACGGTTCGACGTCGTCGCCCGGCCGCGTCGCGTCGAGCAGGAGCGTCAGCACGCGGTCGGCGACGGCGCCGCCTCGCGCGAGCACGACCCCGAGCACGTCGCCCGCGCGGCTGTGGAGCCGCCCGCCGACGCCGACGGCCAGCTCGAAGAGCAGCCGCGCGAGACCGTCGCGCGATCGGGCGACGACGGCGGCCCGCTCGTCCCGGTCCCGCAAAGCGACGGACAGGAGCTTCCGCAGGTGCTTCGCGAGGACCTTGGGCTTGCGGATGCGCCGCAGGAGCTTCGCGAGGACGCGCGCGCCCAGGGCCCGCGCGTCCTCGGACTCGGCGCCCAAAAGAGCGCCGTAGTGGCGCCGCGCCGCGGGCCAGCCCGCCTCCGCGCCCTCCAGGAGGCCGTCGGCGCAGTAGCGGAACACGTACCCCAACGCGTCGCTCGCGGCCTTGGCGACGGGCGGGCTCCGGTCGCCGACGGACGCGGCCAGCCCCGCGACGAGCGCCGCGAGCGCTTCCGCCCCGAGCGCGGGGCCCGCGTCGCGCGCCAACACCGACGCCAGCGAGTAGGCGCCGGCGACGCGCGTCGCCGGGTCCGCGAAGGCGGCGCCGAGCACGGTCGCGATGCGGTCGCCGTTGTGGAGCACCTCGGGCAGCGACTGCGCGAGCGGCCACAAGGGCTCGTGGACGAGCTGTAAAAAGTCCTTCCGCTTCTCGAGCTGGCTCAGGCGCAGCAGCTCGCTCCTCAGCAGGCACGCGCGCCGCGGGTCCACGGCGCCGCCGGCGTCGCCGTCGAGCGCCAGGCGGTAGCCCTCCTCGCCCTCGACGAGCGCGACCGTGTCGTGCTGCGACGTCGCCCGCGGCGCCGCCGCGAGCGCCGCGAAGCGCTTCTTCGGCGCCTGGAAGCGGATGCGCTTCTCCTCGCCGTCGATCTCCGCCTCGGCGCCGGACGGGTCCGCCATATTGGGTCGAGTCGCGGTGCGGCAAAATGAGTTACAAGCTACTCATCGCCTGCGGCCGAGCTCTCTTCGGACTGCAGCATGAACTCAGTTCATCCTCGGAGTGGCCCGCGCGCGGCCGCCGCGCGGCGAAGGGCTAGGCCTAGGGCTGGAGGTGTATCACAGGCTCCTTACTTGTCGATGGGGCTCAGGCGTCGCGCTCGCTGCGCCAGAATTCGAACGCGTGGATGAAGATCTCCTCGGGGACCTCGGAGAAGAGGCGCTCGTACAGGCGCACGCTCGACGGCGACGCGCGGCCGCTCTCGCGGAGCGTCGGCAGCTCGCGGCGGAGGGCGAGGAGCTGGTTTCGCGGCGCGGCGACATACGCGGACCAGCCGCCGGCAGCGCGGACGCGGGCGAGGAACGCGGCATTGTGCGAGCTGTGGTAGCGGCGCGCGTGGGCCTCGGGATCTTGGCCGTACGATAACGCGGTCGAATTGCGCGCGTCGAGCGACGCGCCGCGGCTGAGGAGGAGTTTGCACATTTTGATCCGGCTGTCGCGGGCAGCTCGATGGAGCGCTGTACAAGAATTTTGATCGCGCGCATCGACGCGAGCGCCGGCGTCCAGCAGGAGGACCGCTGCGTCGCATCGGTCGTCACAGGTGGCGAAGTGTAGTGGCGTTGACCCGGAATCGTACGTCGCCGCTTCCACGTTCGCGCCGTGGTCCAGCAGCCATCGAATGGCGGAACACCATCCGTAGCGCGCGGCATGATGCAGGCGCGTGACGTGCAAGTTGTGGAAAAGAATGGTAGCATCGATGTCGCGGCCCTCGCCGGAACCGTACCACGCCCGCGTCTCGTCGAGGAAGGCACGCTCTTCGTCGTCCATCCGCTCACCCTTGCCCTTGCCGCCAAAGCGCTTCCCACCGCCGCCGCGGCCTATTCCGCCGCCGCCGCGGCCCTTTCCGCCGCCGCCGCCGCCGTTCCCGGCGCCGCCGCGGCATTTCCCGCCACCGCCGCGGCCCCCGCCGGACCCGATGAAGGCCCCCTCAGCGTTCTCCATGCTTTACTCCCGAGCTATTTCTTCAAGTGGCATTCACTTTAAAAAAACGATCGCCTTCTCGAACGATGATGATGGCTGCCCCGACGCGCCTAGCATGCGTCGCCCTGTCGTTGTGCTTGCACGCTCGCGCCTACACGGTGGAGCCGCTCTCGTCGGCGCTGGGCGTCGAGGTCGTCGGCCTCGACCTGCGGTCGCCGCTCGACGACGACACGGTGGACGCGATCACGGCGCTGCTCGACGCGCACCTCGTCGTGTGCTTCCGGGGCCAAACTTCGCTCACGCCGGAGCAGCAGGTCGCCTTCACGAAACGCTGGGGCGCCGTGGAGCCGCACCCGCTGGGCTCGCGCGAGGAGATCCACCCCGCGGGCGTCCCCGAAGAGGTCCTCGTCGCGCAGAACCGCCTCGTCGACGGCGACTCCGTGCGCAACGACATCTGGCACACGGACCTGAGCTGCATGCGGGGGCGCGGCGTCGAGCAACGGGACTGCGTTTTCGCGCAATGCTGAGAAGAAACTTCTTTAGGCCCGAGCCCGTCGCGTACACGGCGCTCCTCGGCGTCGAGGTCCCCCGGGAGGGCTGGGGCGACACGCTCTTCGCGAACACGCGCCAAGCCTACCGGGGCCTCTCCGAGGGCTACAAGGCCCTCGTCGACGACCTGCGCGCGGTCCACAACACGATGCACTTCGAGCGCGCGGGCAAGATGGAGAACTTCACGGCCTCCGCGTCTTCCGTGCACCCGCTGGTCCGGACGCACCCGCGCACGGGCGAGGACGCGCTCTACCTGTCGGGCAACTTCATCGACCGCGTCGACGGCATGGGCCGCGACGAGAGCCGGCCGCTCGTCGACGCGCTCATCGCCCACGCGACGAGCCCGATCTACACCTACCGCCACCGCTGGCGCGCGGGCGACCTCGTCATGTGGGACAACGCGGCGACGATGCACTACGCCGTCTTCGACTACGCCGCGGGCATGGCCCGGACGATGCATCGTACGACCGTCGCGGGCGACGCGCCGTTCCGCGCGCGCTAGGGCGGCTTACCGGCGCGCGCGCCGCTCGAGGCGCGCGGGGGCCGCCTCGCTCAGTTGGGCGCGACGAGCTTGTTGTAGAGGGGCATGAGGGCCAGCACGGAGAAGGCCGCGGCCGTCTTCTTCTGATGCGCGCGCAGCCGCGCGAGGACGCCGCCGTCGCCGGCGCCGGCGACGTCGCTCGCCGACGGCAGCGCCGAGTCGTCGACGGCCTCCACCGCCGGCGACGCCGGCGGCACGCGGTACTCGGCCGTCGCGAGGACGTCGGCGATTTTGAGCTTCAGCGCCGCGACGTCCGTCGCGGGGAACTCGAAGGGGCAGGCGGCGCGGACGGCGTGGTCCGCGGGCAGCGCCGTCGCGCCAAAGGCCGCGGCGGCGGCGAAGACGACGAAGAGCAGCGTCCCGAGCCAGGATCCGCCGCCGGCGGGGCTCGCGGGCGACGCGCCGACCGCGGCGTCCTCCATCTGCGACGGCCAGCGCGACTCGCCCGTGCTCGTGTTCAAAAAGTAGCGGTTCCCCGTCGCCGGATCCTCGTGCGTCTCCCACACATCGCCGGAGGCCTCCGTAACGGTCTCCGTCGTCGCCGCCATGCGCATCCAATGAAACACGAATCAGATTCGGCCGGCCGCGGCGATGATGGCGGGCAGCCCAAACTTCACACAATCGCCGATTGGCAAGAATACACAAGCTCGGCGCCTTTCAAGGCGCGCCGTCGCGTCGCGAGCCAGCGCTCCGCAACCGCAATCGCTCGTCGCGACCCAGCAGCTCCGCAACCGCAATCGCTTGTCGCGACCCAGCAGCTCCGCGACCGCAATCGCTTGCGCACCGATGCAGCCGGCGCTCGTCGCCCTCGCCGTGGTCCTGGCCGCGACGGTCGCGGGCTTCCACGCCCTGTGGACGCACCTCGTCGCCGTCATCACGACGCTCCTCGTGGTCGCGCACGACGGTTCCGACGCCGGCCCGGTGGCGACGGCGCTCGGCGCCGCGACGGTGACGTACCTATCCATCACGATCGGCTGGTACGGCGTGCTCATCGTCCGGCGCCGCGACGACTTCGTCGGACGAGCGATGCACGGCTGGCCCAAATGGATCATCGAGCACGTGCTCGTCGGCTGCGGCGTCCTGCCGCCGGGCTCGACGGTGCCCTTCGACGAGACGGGCGTGCCCGTCGCCGTGCGCGTCGCCTACCATCTCCTCGACCTGTCGATCCACTTCTTCCCGACGCCGTACTTGCTGCAGACCTACGGCCACCTCGTCGCGCGCGCGCCCGTCGCCTACGCCTGCCTCGGCTTCGCGGCCACGCGCCTCTGGTGCCTCGCGTGCTCGCTGCACGACGTCTCGCTGGACCTGTCGCGGGGCCTCGGCGGCGCGAGGCTCCGGCGCCGCGCGGCCCCGGCGCCACAGCTCTTCCTCCGGGGCGCGCTCTTCTCCGCGATCTACGGCCTCGTGCCGCCCATCGGCGACGGCGCCATCTGGACCGCCTACGCCGGCGAGGTCGGCGCGGCGGTCTGCTTCGTCCTGGCGAACGCCGCGGCGGGGCCGTTCCCCGCGGCCGCGTTCCGGCGGCTCGGCGGCGCGGACGTCGTCGCCCCCGGCACGATCGTCGCCGCCGCCGCCGCCTCCGCCGCGGTCGGCGCCGCCTTCGGCGCCTGGGGCGCCGCGACGATCTTCGCGCGCGTCTTCGCCGACAACGCGAAGCGGCGCTAAGGGGGGGGTGCTTATGCTGCTCGAAGCGGCGCTAAGGGGGGATGCTTAGTATGGCGCTCGCGCGCTTGCTTCACACGTCGTCCTCGAAGACGTCGTCGTCGTCGAGCTCCATGTCGTCGCCGGCGACGGCGCCCGGCTCGACGTAGGGCGGCTGCGCGCGGACGACGTCCGGGCTCATGAGGGGGAAGGTGCCGGAGCTCGACGCGCGCGACGCCGGCGACGGGATCCCGGGCGCCTTCGGGCTCTCCGGGGGGCTCCGCTGGCGGTGGAGGTTCTCGGCCCAGCCCTGGCGGTCCGGCACGGCGGCGTAGGGCGCGGGCGACCGGTCGCTCGAGGTCGCGGCGGGCGCGTAGGGCCCGGGCGCGGCGGCGCCGGAGGCCGCGTAGGGCGCGGGCTCGCGGTCGAAGCCGTAGGCCGCGCGCTTCACGCCGCCCCGGCTCCCGCGCGCGGCGAGGACCGCGCCCGCGGCGGCGAGCCCGCAGCAGAGGAGGCCCAGCACGACGACGACGACGATGAAGTCCGTCATCGGCAAGGCGCCGACGGTGGCCCCGCCGCCCTTCTTCTTCGACGACGACGCGACGGCCGTCGGCGCGGCCGTCGGCGCGGGCGCGGGCGCGGCCGTCGGCGCGGGCGCGGCCGTCGGCGCCGGGCGCGGCGCGGGCGCGGCCGTCGGGCGCGGCGCGGTCGGGCGGGGGGAAGGGGGCGACGCGTATTCGACGACGCGGTAGAAGTCCGCGCCCTTGTGGATCTCGTCGCGGCAGTTGTCGACGTTCTTGTCCGTGCCGCACTCGCCGTCGGACTCGCACAGGTCGCCGGCGACGAGGCCCGGCGTCGCGCAGTCGCGGATGTCGAGCTCCTCGGGGCAGTCGGGCGAGTCGCGCGCGAGCGCCTCGAGGCTCGGGCACCCGAGCGCGCACTCCGCCGTCTGGACGCAGCGCCCGCCGTCGACGCGCCAGCAGCAGCCCACGCACGCGTCGTGCACCTCGCACGCCGGCGCGGGCGCGGGCTCCGGCTCCGGCGCAGGGGCGGGGGCGGGCTCCGGCGCGGGCTCCGGCGCCGGCGCCGGCGCGGGCTCCGGCGCGGAGGGGTCGACGACGCGGTAGACGTCGGCCTCGATCCCAACCTCGCCGCCGCAGTTGTTCAGGCCGTCGGACGTGCCGCACTCGCCGTCGCCCTCGCACAAATCGCCGACGACGAGCGACTCCGCCGCGCAATTGACGAGGAACTCGAGCGAGACCGTCGCGGGGCAGTCCGCCGCGCCGACGGCCGCGAGCGGCGCGCACGCGGGCGCCGGCGCGGGCGTCGGCGCGGGCGTCGGCGCGGGCGTCGGCGCCGCGACGGCGCGGTAGACGTCGGCCTCGATGCCGACCTCGCCGCCGCAGTTGTTGAGGGCGTCGGACGTGCCGCACTCGCCGTCGCCCTCGCAGAGGTCGCCGACGGCGAGCGACAGCGCGCAGCTCACGAGGAACTCGAGCGAGCTCGACGCGGGGCAGTCCGCCAAATCGACGGCCTCGAGCGACGGGCACCGAGGGTCCTCCGGCGCCGGCGCGGGCGCGGGCGCGGGCGCGGGCGCCGCGACGAGCACGTAGAGGTCGGCTCCGAGCCCGTACCCCGCCCCGCAGTTGTTGATCTTCTTGTCGGTGCCGCACTCGCCTGCGGGGACGAGCGAGCGTCGTCGGTACGAACGATCGCGCGCGGCCAATATCGCGCGATGTTTCAGGGGACGCGGAGGTCGTCACCGTCGCCCTCGCACAGATCCCCGACCCGCAGACTCTCGTGGTCGCACGAGTGCAAGGCGAGGATCTCTTCCTCGCTCAACGGCGCACACTCGGCCTCCGTCACCGGACGAAGCGATCGGCCCTCGCAGGAGAGCCGGCGCCGGTGGGGCGCCCCGACGCGTGCGACGACGGCTCGCACGATGAGCGCGATGAGCGCGAGAGCACGGGCGCTCATGTTGTGTAACTGCTCAAGATTGGGGAGATGTGTGCAAGGCTGAGGCAAATTTGCGGCGCGCGCCGGGCTCGCCCGTCCGGACTCTCCGGACTCGTCCTGCGTCCCAGGTCCTCCGATACCCTTCCGATGGACGCCAAGTGGGACGCCTCGAGGCGGCCCGCGACGGTCCGGCCGGCCCCGAGCTGGCACGCCGAGTGTCGCAGGAGTGGTTAGGGCGGGCGGGGATGCGGGGGCTTTCGCGGCGCGACCGTCTTGGCTAGATCTTCGCGTAGGCGGACTCGTCGTCGGACATGTCCATGTCCATGTCGACGTCGTAGTCGTCCTTGGGGTGCGCGGGCGTTTCGCGCGCGGGCTCGGCGCCGTAGGCGAACTCCTCGTCGGCCGCGGGCGACGCGGGCCAGTCGTCGCGCGGCGAAGCGTCCGCGGCGTAGTTGGGCCCGTCGCGCGAGTAGTCCTCGGCCGGCGCGTCGCGGTTGTAGTCCGCGTAGGTCTTGGGCGGCGCGCCGTAGGCCTTGGAGCGCGACGGGAAGGAGAAGGAGTTGCCGTTGTCCGCCTGGTACTTGGCGACGAGGCCCGCGCAGACGCAGCAGCCGAGCGCGACGACGCAGATCATGACGATGACGATGATGCCGTCGACCTCGCTGAGGCCGTCGATGATGCCGTCGTCGTCGGCCTTCTTCTTCGACGACGACGACGACGACGGGCCCCCGGCCGCGAGCTCCGTCGTCGCGACGGCCTCTCCGTCGACGACGCGCGCGTTCGCGAAGGCGGCTTCGTCCTCCGCGGCGAGCGCGGCGAGCCAGTCGTCGGCCGTCGCGGCGGCGAGGCGCGCGGCGGCGGCGGTGGCCGCGCCGCTCGTCGCGAAGACGAGCTCGTACGAGACGACGACGTTGTTCCGGAAGCCGAGGGCGCCGTCGACGACGTCGGGGTCGCCCGCGAGGCCGACGATCGCCTCCACGAACGCGTCCTCGAAGGTCTCGGCGTAGGCGGCGCTCATGCCGCTCAGCGTCACGGACCCGACGACGACGGGCCGGTCCGGCGGCGACGCGGCGGCGCACGCGAGGTCGCACCGCTCGCCGAAGACGAGCTGGCCGATGGCGCCGTAGGCGCACTCGACGAGCGCCTCGTACTGGCTCGCGCAGGGGGACACGTCCGCCACGGGGTAGCAGGCCGCGACGAAGGAG